GCTTTCCCTACACCCAGGAGCTTGCACTCACCCTGCACAGCCGTGTACACCATGCATACCTATGCTGGAAGCCCCACCCTCAGAGGAGCCCTGCCCCCTTTTCCACCCTGGCCCAGTGCTGGCTGTGAGCCTGCTCAGGAGATTCAACACAGGCCCTTTGTCCCCTGGGATCAGGGCTGCCCACAAGGGGATTTAGCAGCATTTAAACCATAATCCCCTGTGTGGGCGTGCCCCAGATCTCACCCTGTCAGGAGCCTGGAACAATTGGGCCCCCTTCTCCCAGCAGAGGCAGACGCTGGGCTGGCTGGCTTGTGGGTCGGGGGTGGGTCAGGGCTGACATCCTTGCCTCCCTCCCCTCTGGATGTGGGGCTTGCAAAGACCCCTTTGTGCTCTGCAGCCTGAGGCACAGCAGACTGAGGGCCTCTGTCCCCGGCACACTCAGAGCTGGTGGGCACCTCCCTGCAGCCCTTTGCAAGGAGTCCCACCCTGGCTCGCAGGCTGGATCCTGTGTCCCGGGCTCAGACTCCTGGGGTGAGGTGTGGGTGCTGACTCCTGCACATGGCCTCATCTGACGCCTTAGGCCTCAGGAATCAGATGGAAGAGCCCACTGAGTGGGGGAGGGGGAAAGATCATATGGGAAGGGGCGTTTTGTCCCCGCCTCAAGGGAAGTCCAAAGCTGGCCTTTGTGCCCGGGCTTGCCTTCGGGTCACTGCTACCAGACAAGGAGGACCATCCTAAGAGGAAAACTTGGCTGTGCATTTTTGAAACTCTCGACTCTTCCCCTTTTACTCACTCATTCAAAAATCTCTTTGGATGCTCTAAGCAAAACATTTTTCTCCACTTTTCCCCAGAGAAACTCAATACTTTTAATGGAATGCCAGGTCACCCAACCACACATTTTTCTCTAATCTTTTATGTAATTAAAATTCCATTAGTGTTGGGGCTTCCCTGGTGGCACAGTGGTTAAGGATCCGCCTGCCAATGCAAGTAACATGGGTTCGAGCCCTGGCCTGGGAAGATCCCACATGCCGCGGAGCAACTAAGCCCGTGCACCACAACTACTGGGCCTGCGCTCTAGAACCCACAAGCCACAACTACTGAACCCACGTGCCACGACTACTGAAGCCCGCGTGTCTAGAGCCCATGCTCCGTAACAAGAAAAGCCACAACAATGAGAAGCCCGCACACCACAACAAAGAGTAGCCCCCGCTTGCCGCAACTAGAGAAAGCCTGCGCGTAGCAACGATGACCCAACACAGCCAAAAATAAAAACAAACAAACAGTTCCACTAGCGCAAATGCTGAAAATTAAATGAACTATACCCAAGTGTCAGGTTGAGAGAGGCAAGATCTCCAGGTTCAATTCCCTGAGGCTGCCCTGGCACAACAGTTTTTCACCTGGTGTATCATTCAGCTTGGCTGCTGTAACAAATACTACAGACCCGGGTTGGGGGAGGGGGGCTTAAACAACAGAGGTTTATTTCTCACAGTTCTGGAGGCTGGAAGTCCAAGATCAAGATTCCGGAAGATTCTGTTCTTGGTGAGGGCTTGCTTTCTGGTTCAACCCACTCCAGGGAGTTACCCGAACAGCCTGAGGTTTCCTGAGAGCCTCTCATGAACCCCAGATCCACTGTATCCCAAGCCCCTAGGCCCAAATCAACCCAACCCCACTTGCCTACATCTTTGAGAGGCTCCACCACATCACTGGGATCCAGCATTCTTGGAGAGTTATTCTTTGTAAATGTTGTGTTGTTTTCTAGAGTTTGGAGGTGTCTAGGAGAAGCAGGCCTCCATGCTGACCCACACGCTCTTATCCATCCTTCCGTCTGCCTGTCCTTGAACTTGCCTTTCCAAACAGATTTCTGGAACAATGTTCAAACAAAACTAGGGTTATTTCCAGATGGTGGAATTTAGGACATTTTTCTATTTTCTTTTCTGTTCTTTTTTGTATTGCTTCCATTTTTAAAATAAGATTGTACTAATTTTACAAAGACAAAATTATTCTTTTTTAAATAAGATGCATTTTTTAAACCTATACGTTCTCAAAAGATATAAAATTGGAAGTTAGTGTCAGGAAGAGTGTGGGAGTGGGTTCCTCTTACTTTCCTGGGGGAGTGTACTGGGGACCTTCTTGTGGCTTAAAAACCTTAAAAGCATGAAGCCCATTTGGCTAAAGCATTGCACCCATAGAAAAGTTATCCTAAGAAATTATTAGAAAGGTGTGCCAAATTTATAAATGAAGATTTTCCTGAAGATATCTTTTTTTTTTGATTGTGCCAGGTCTTGGTTGCAGCAGGTGTTCTCCTTAGTTGTGGCCGGTGGTCTCCTTAGTTGTGGCTCGCCAGCTCCTTAGTCGTGGTATGTGAACTCTTAGCTGTAGCACGCATGTGGGATCTAGTTCCCTGACCAGGGATCAAACCCAGGCCCCCTGCATTGGGAGTGTGGAGTCCTCACCGTTGCACCACCAGGGAAGTCCCAAGATACCGTTTTTAATGACAACAGTTTTTCAATATCCCAAATATCCAACACTAGGAGATTGATTACAACTTTGGTTCTGGTGATTTTTTTGATTTTTTAATTTTTTTTTTTAGTGAAGACCTGTCTTTTTTTTTTTGGCTGCGTTGGGTCTTCATTGCTGTGCGTGGGCTTTTCATTGCGGTGGCTTCTCTTTTTGCGGAACACAGGTGCGTGGGCTTCCATAGTTGCAGCACACGGGCTCAGTAGTTGCA